AGGTATTTGAAAAAATACCTTCGCCGCAGTTTTTACATTGTTTGTTATGTTTCTAATTTCATTTTATGCAGAAATCATTTGCTTTTGAGCTCGACTTTCCGAGGAAAAAGAGAAGAGAAAGGCCTATTCTTTTTCCCACTGAAAACTTGAACGTTGCTGATATTTTTTTCTCTCTCAATGCATTGCGTTCATAATTGGACTGGAACAAGACTTTGATTTAGACTAAACTTGACCTTCACACGTTAAATGGCCTTGACATTTTAGATCAATATTTTTAATTTTGCTACTTTTTTGTGGTACAATTGGCTATAACTTTGTTATTTATAAATGGATTGTCTTCACATATGGGCACAACAATGATGAGGACAAGACCTTCAAGAAAATCAAACTTGCCTTGACCCTGTTGAAGGTCGATTTATTGAATTTTGCAATATGATATAAATGGCTTTAATATTTTTTTAACTAATAAACAGGTTGTCGTCATTCTTGCTCACATCAACCTTCAGAAAAAATCCTAACTTGACCTTGAATTTGATATGACATTGACCTTCAATATCAAATAACTGTTATTTCACAATTGTTGCTGTAATTGGCTATACATTTGTGATTTATAAAAGCATTCAATTCAAATTATTTATTTTTGCTAAAAGTGGTTGTAAATTTGTTATTTATTAAAGGGTTTCTTTCAAACTTGGACAAAACAACACTTGTTACTTAACCAACATAATGAGAAATAACTTAGATATGACATTGACCTTTAAATAACCTTGACCGTCAACGTCAAAATATTACGTTTTCTAAAATTGATATAATTTATATATTTGTTAACGGGTTTGGTTCATACTTATACAAACAACACTTGTGGCCAAACCAACATGTAAAAATAATTCAAATATGACATCGACTTTCAATGATCTGCACCGTTAAGGTTGAGTTAATAAAAGTTGATAGAGAACATTGATACGTTAAAAAGACGACCTTAATTGTTATAGTCAAATATGAAAATTTCTGTTCACAGTAATATGTTTTTGAAAGCCCTTTACTACAGTGTTGAATTCTCCCTCTGATGTGTTAAGAATAAGTCGAGCGTGGTCTCGCTCAGCGGTTTCTCTTGTTTTATCCTTTTTATGGTATTCATTGTAAAAATAAATGAATAGTTTATTATGTTATGTAAACGTCAAGATGAATGGAGACCCCAAAAGTGAGAGTTCACAATAAATGACTTCATTAAAGGTTGCTTGATAGACAAGTGATTTCTTTGTTTGTCATTACAACTAAATACATCAAACTTGTAGATGTGTCCAACCTGTCGGACAATTAGGAAAATACTGACGTTGTTGTTGTTGTTTTAAGATAAAATTTGACGGAAATGCCCGATGTTTCTCGATTAAATTGTGCTTACATATATATGGCTATGCTTCTTTTTTTAAGGTTTTTCTTTTAATCGTAATTTACTGTATACATTTGTGTGTGTGTTCATGCGTGCGTGTGTGCGTGCATGCGTGCGTGTGTTCTGTTCTGTTTAATAAAGTTATTAATGAGGCCAAGCACAACTAAATATTTTGAAAACCACCTTCGTAAATAACTTAATTTTCCGATGTCTGATAGATGGAAACTTTGTCTATATGTATTACAGTCTTCTTGAAGACATCATTAAAATGTCTAGAGAATGGTTTATGATTTTGTTTTTGTTAAATTAAATAGTCTATTCATGAAGTTCATGTGCTATAAATTTCCATTTATTATGGCAATTGAAAACTCAAAAGTCGGTACACTTAATACATAATACATGTACAAATGTATATTGTTTTGAAATTAAAGTTAATTCATTAACTTAACTAATACTTCTAATTGTAGTAATTAATGAACAACCTCTTCTAACAATATAGAAGACTGGCCCGTCTTTAACTTCCTAATACGTGTATTGATAATATATATAGTTACATTGCTACAAGGTTTCACTTTAAAATGATATTATTTGGTATACAATCATGTATATGGAATATTGTGTATGTAAGTAATGCGTGCCGCATGATATTTTACATTTTGCAGAAGGAATAAAAACATATCGTGCAGTACAGCTGTATGTTAAACAAGAAATATTGTCAGAAAAATCATTTACGGAATGTGACGAAGTTCGCCGACTTTTAATAATTCATTCGTGAACGAGATATGAATTATTTTTATGATGAAGAAAAAGTATCATGAATTGGATCTTTATTAAATTTATTATCCCTGCTAGTCCCTACAGCCACAGACCTTTGACTTGCCTATACATCTGTGTGATCTAGCCGGGCTCTATCATTTAGGCAGCTTTTATTTTACATTGAACTCCCTTAACCCCTTAAATGGACTGTTCCAAATTCAAAGCTTGTGGCCAGTTCATTATATAAATTAGGGATTATACGGATATAGGTAGAGAGGTTGATGGGGAAGCGAGATGTCTATCAATATAACAATATACTGGTTGTGAGAAACACGGGATGTTGATTTCTAAAATTGATCTAGTATACAGATATGCAAGATTCTTCCGTGATGTCATCTAATTGAATTCTAAATTCAATAGTGAATGTTACATGTACATTCGCTCAATTTGAATAAATTAATATACTCTACCTTTAAACTTGTAGCTTTTACAGAATACATGTAACAAAATTCTGTAAACTTTATGGTGGCCGGCGTTATAAAGACATGTCGGATATCTAAGCGGTCATCACGTGGGTTTGTCATTTGAACCGCTTTGGAGTTTGCTTTTTTAAGAAAAAATGATAGCGAACAGCATGGATCCTGATCAGACTGCGCGGATGCGCAGGCTGGTCTGGATCCATGCTGGTCGCAAACCCAATATGTTGGTTTTGTCATGACGCGGCTCAAATAAATAAATTTGTTAAATTATGGTAAATTACTTCAAATTTATTTGAAAATTTAAACTTTGTACTAAGGATTGAATATACTATTAAAATTAATATTTTAATTAATTCTAGTGATTTAATTTTAATTAAAAAAAATATACAGGTTTCTTTATCTTTTGTTTCTTTCGGCGGTCGTGTTTAACTGTTATTGTATATAATACATTTAAGCAGATATAGATATAAATCTCTCTAAATCTGTCACTTTTTGAACTCTTGAATATTCAAGATGTGTGTTCGCATGCCAGATTGATGTTTAGATCTAATTTTCACAGGTATTATAATAATATAATAAGCATTATGTTCTTTTGTAAAATTATAACAGTTTATATACGTGTTTACATGTACGAGTATAAACGTGTCATGGATTATTTCATTCAAGTCGTTACTTAAAAAGTTACGCAATTGTTTTTGCTATCGCTAAATCAAATTTACATTGATGCTATGTTTTCATTATTTTTATTTCAAACACTACAAATGATTGACAAGGAAAGAATGGCACAGATTGGTTCACATGAAAAGTTTAACGGGTTAAAAAAATACAATGTACCTTGTTTAGCTACAAATTTGTTTAAATAAAACTTGTACATATGAAATAAAAATATACTTGTTATTATTATATTTATTGTTGTTGTGACGGTTCAGTTGGAGAAAAAAACACTTACAGATTAGCTAATAATGACGTAGGCTTGATTGGCAAATATAACATATAAATGTTAAATAAAAAATGATAAATATTTCAAGTAGGATAGTCTCTTTTGAATTATGCACAAATTAAGCGAAGGAATTCTTAGGTGTAAATAAATATATTTTGATTTTGATTAAGCTAACCGAAATAAAGATAAATCTTCTTGCCATACCTTAAACTAAACATGAAACGTGTATCTTTATTTACGTTTCGTGCCTTTCGGCCTTTATCAATTATCAAAGTTTAAGTATTTTAAAAATCACTACATCGAGCCGTTCTTATATTAAAGATTTACATGTACATTAAATATTTGAAAATACAAATTAGACTATATGTAAAATAATAAGGAGAAATGTAAACTATCTGCTGTCACTAAACGACTGGTTGTGTAAGGTTGTATAATAGACTGTATTATATCTATAGGCAAATCTCACCTCAAACGCATTCTTAGTACGCATGTACCCACTTAGCATGCTTGGAGGGTTTATAATCGGTGATGAAATGTTAAAGATACGAACCAGTGAACAGGCTTGTTTCCGCCATCCGTAATAATATCTGGTGAATCCGGCAACCAGAAAAATAATATATACAATAGATATATGATAAAGAATTATTAGGAATGACAGCGCTGAACGAGTTTATCTTAACCTGGCATGTGCTAAAATAATTCAATAATGAATACGAGTATTGCGTGTTGAGGAGTACATTAGACAATGGGTATCCAAGGTTGAGATAAAAATAAAACACCCAATATTTGTTTGGTTTATTTCTTACCTGTTTACAGTGACATTGGTAAATACGTGTATAATGATAAGTTACGTTAACGTACTGTTACAGTACAGTACACTGCACTGCATTGTACAGCCGGGCACAGCACGGCACGGCACAACACAACACAACACAACGCAGCGTAGCACAATACAATCCAATGCACAATACAATACTGCACAATACAATACAATACAATACTGCACAATACAATACAATTCAACACAACACAACACAATATTTCTTTATTTAGTCAAGGTTACATATTTTGTAACACAGAAAATTGAAGAATAATATAAATATTGAACATTATGTTGGTACATTTAAACATATAACCAGATAGAGGTAAATACATTTGTAAATAACAAAATAACATGTACTTGTTTTTTGTGTGTTTGTTTGTTTAGGAGTTTTTATTCTGAATTTGTTTCTTATGGTTTATTTATTATCATTGGATACTAGTAACAGTATTGATAATGAAGAAGGTTTTTACGGGCTCTGTTTTGTTGAACGAGAAAATTAAGATATTTAACGCATGTTTACAAATACATATACTCTCTTAATATATAAACATTGTATTTTGCATACTAGCTTTAACACTACAAATGACAATTTCTTTTTTTCATTTCAGGTGTTCCAATTTACTACGACCTTTTTAAACACATTGTTAATGAAATAGTTGAACGTGCGAGAACTCAATGGTTATTGGCTAAAGTAAAGACATAGAAAAAGGGGAAAAAGTTTACGATCTCAGTTGTTTTATCAATAGTACATGAAAGCTTGGGTATAAATGAATGGACCAAGTACATGTATATTTAAGGTTAAAAAACTGGATATTTTCCGCTCTAGTTATTTAGAGTATTACCGTGTTATGTAATTATAACCCTGTCTTGCACGTGCAAAATTATTAAGGACATTTATAATATACCCTCCTTAAGTATTAAAGCTGTAGTAACTACAGAACATATAAACAGAAATAAATATAATGACCAATCAATCGATATAATAGTAAACTATCGACTCGGCCTATTGAGTATGGAATTGCAAATAAAGTAAGGGATTAAAAAGTGCGAGCGCTATTGGACGTGTCTAAACTGTAACTTTGAAAGTGTGACATACATCTGTCGTAGTGATCTTCGAAATAAGATATATATAAAGGATATAATTTTAAAGAAATTGCCACAGTTACCAGAACGATCATCGTTTGTGCTTTAATTTTTAAATTCTGGAGATTTATTAGTTGCTGATAAGTTTTAAATTTTATTTATTTTTGTGATAGATAATATATAGAAAATTATAAACGATGAAATTATGGCTAGTTATCGCGGTAGGAATGGTCATACACGCCATATTCTTTTTCTCAATTTTTGAAATATACTTCGCCACACCGCTTGTGAATGGAATGACACCGTATCGTTCCCCTTTGAAGCCGCCGGCGAGGAGACTGGTGTTTATTGTTGCCGACGGATTACGTGCTGACAAAATTATGGAACTAATGCCAAACGGGAAAAGCCCAGCACCCTTCTTAAGGTATGTTTAACTTTGTTGTATTTTTAAAGCCTGTGTCCCACTTTGACCTAGTAAGTCATGACCTCGGGTAACGAATTGACCCAACTACCCAATTCAATAAAAATATGAATGATATCATCTTAGATAAAGTTATTGAGATATTACTGTTTATCAAATACACAAACAAGGTTACCAATGTTAGTTGGTTCAAACATGTGTTCCAGATTTTAACTTCCATAATATGATTGCATAATGCACTATTAATCAGCTTAAATATTTGGCTTTATTTAAGCAGTATTTAACTTAGAGCCCTAAGAATATCCGCTTTCTATTGTATAGTCGTGACTCGTGAGATTACTATACAATAATAGTATTTAACAGAAAAACAGTTTATATATCTCTCTTTTGTTTCCTTAGACGAAAACACCAACAATTAAAACAACCAAAAATTATAAATTTGAAAAATTAAAAAGTATAATTTTAATCATTCTTTAAGATGTACTGGCCAAAAAAGGACGAGGGATAACGGTTTTATGGAACAATCGCGGCGTTTTAAAGGGAAGGGTTAAGCTTTAAACAAACACATATTATTTACCGAAGCTTTCATTAGACTTAACAAGTTCAATATAGGACATCAAAATGACAGAATTATGAAATTATGCAAATATCAAATATCGATTTTATAAGATGATAGTATACTATTTACCCGTAACTCTGTACACCATGAATGAATACGATGAAGACCAGATCATATACTTGTAATAGTTAATAAACTGGGAATATAAAATACAGTCACACCTGTGTAGAGGGTACTGGGAATAGCAATTACAGTACAATCGATATAGAAAGCAATTGCCTCTACAACAAAAGTATCATTTTTTTCCGGAAGTAGACCTTTACACTCATTTTTACCTCTGTAGAGCACCACCTCTCGGTAACAACCAGAACTGTTTTCTCATAAAGGTGGTCACTCTACAGAGATTGTGCTGTATCAATTTATAATGTACTAATGCTGATTTGAAAGACCCCGATACAAGTAAAGGGTAAACTTCAGACAAATTATCTTAATTAGATTTTGGTTTGATATTCAAATAAATGGCACATGAAAAGATTGTGTGTATCACTTAGTAATGGGTTCGTAGTGTTTTCAACATAGTCAATGAAAACTTTCTCTCTTTATATGAGCCGTGTCACGACAAAACCAACATAGTGCGTTTGCGACCAGCATGGATCCAGACGAGCCTGCGCATCCGCGCAGTCTGATCAGGATCCATGCTGTTCGCTTACAAACCCTATTACAAGTAGAGAAACTGATAGCGAACAGCATGGATCCTGATCAGACTGCGCGGATGAGCAGGCTGGTCTGGATCCATGCTGGTCGTTGGTTTTGTCGTGACACGGCTCATATACATAAGTGAATATATGTCCATAACCGAAGGTCTGTAATATTACTATTAAATGATCGGATATACTTATCGACATTAATGTAATGAATTGTTCGGGGAAAATACTATTATTCAGCATATAGGTGTTCAGAATAAAGAACTCGATCAACATTTTTTGTCTAGGAATATTTTATAAGAATTTCCGAATGATACATTTGAATTGTCTTTAAAAAAACTAATGGAAAATGCGCCCATTTTAGACCAATCCACTGTATGACAAATCTCGTCCCAACCATTTAGTTAACTATATAACCATGCTATCTCCCAGCACATGAATGAATTAAACTATGTATACAATTTTAACGACATTTTGAAGGGTGACCATATAACTAGTATCTTTGACCCATTTATTTTGCCAGAGACACACATTAGCTTGTTTTGGAGAAAGTACGATTGAGAGGATTATAGCTGCAGAGATGTATGGTGTTTCCGGTTACAACTCTCAGTATACATGAAGGTTGTTATTTTAGACCGTCGTGGTGGAAAATGAGCTATTTCTGATATTATCCTGAAATATTTGCGTTTATTGTATGAAGGAACGGCTTTTGTTCCACTGAGTTTTAACATATTAGTTTTAACGTGATTCAGACGGGAAAAAAAAAAACTTTAAGTTTGTTGCAACCGCTTTCATACCCGTTTCCTCGATACCAGTACTAGTGAAATATGGTCATTGAAAAAAATGATCATAACCCCTTTAGAGTTCGAACTCACAATGCCTACGTTACAGACAGGCAGTTTTACCACTACTAGCCTCAGCAACTTTACTACTACTAGCCTCAGCAACTTTACTACTACTAGCCTCAGCAACTTTACTACTACTAGCCTCAGCAACTTTACTACTACTAGCCTCAGCAACTTTACTACTACTAGCCTCAGCAACTTTACTACTACTAGCCTCAGCAACTTTACTACTACTAGCATCATCAACTTTACCACTACTAGCCTCAGCAAATTTACTACTACTAGCATCATCAACTTTACCACTACTAGCCTCAGCAACTTTACTACTACTAGCATCAGCAACTTTACCACTACTAGCCTCAGCAAATTTACTACTACTAGCATCATCAACTTTACTACTACTAGCATCAGCAACTTTACTACTACTAGCATCAGCAACTTTACTACTACTAGCCTCAGCAACTTTACTACTACTAGCATCAGCAACTTTACTACTACTAGCCTCAGCAACTTTACTACTACTAGCCTCAGCAACTTTACCACTACTAGCCTCAGCAACTTTACTACTACTAGCATCAGCAACTTTACCACTACTAGCATCAGCAACTTTACTACTACTAGCATCAGCAACTTTACTACTACTAGCATCAGAAACTTTACTACTACTAGCATCAGAAACTTTACCACTACTAGCCTCAGCAAATTTACTACTACTAGCATCATCAACTTTACTACTACTAGCATCAGCAACTTTACTACTACTAGCCTCAGCAACTTTACTACTACTAGCATCAGCAACTTTACTACTACTAGATTCAGCAACTTTACTACTACTAGCCTCAGCAACTTTACCACTACTAGCCTCAGCAACTTTACTACTACTAGCATCAGCAACTTTACTACTACTAGCCTCAGCAACTTTACCACTACTAGCCTCAGCAACTTTACTACTACTAGCATCAGCAACTTTACTACTACTAGCCTCAGCAACTTTCCTACTACTAGCCTCAGCAACTTTACTACTACTAGCATCAGAAACTTTACTACTACTAGCATCATCAACTTTACCACTACAAGCCTCAGCAAATTTACTACTACTAGCATCATCAACTTTACTACTACTAGCATCAGCAACTTTACTACTTACTAGCATCAGCAACTTTACTACTACTAGCCTCAGCAACTTTACTACTACTAGCATCAGCAACTTTACTTCTACTAGCATCAGCAACTTTACTACTACTAGCCTCAGCAACTTTACTACTACTAGCATCAGCAACTTTACCACTACTAGCCTCAGAAACTTTACTACTACTAGCCTCAGCAACTTTACTACTACTAGCCTCAGCACTTTTGATCAAGGATTACATGTCTCTTTTGCTCGTCTTTCATGTCTGAATACAGCGACAGGGGGGTGGGGTGGGGAGGGGGGGGGGGGGGGGTGCCACAATCCTCTTCCTATCTAGGATTTGTCTGGTTTGGCGAATCCTCCCGGTAAACTGGTAAAAATGACCCACTCTTGTAAAAGCTAGTGAAATGTCAAACCCATTTTGGAATATGCATCACCCCTAATCGAAATTTTTGCGACACCCGTTGGTAAGATTTTCTAGTTTCTCTGTTGTCTTTAATGACTAATATAAGGTTACACATTTGATGACGATCTATCACATGATGTTTGTTGACAAAATAGCATGTGATTTATTTTGTCATAGCTTTTCGCCTTTAAAACCTTATCGTTTGCTTGCTGAACGCTGATATATTCTTTAAAAAGTTAACTTTATTCCCTAAAGATAGTCGTGACTGAAGTATCATGTTTCTAACAGATGATCACGAATCAGAGTTTTCTGGTTTTTTTAACACAGATCTGAAAGTGTTCGAGAATGTCTTTTTTACCGCGTTTTTCAGTACTTTGAATAACAACAATACATAAATTTATAAAAGTGACGATGTGTTTACCATGCTGAGATGATTTATTTATCAGCTCTTATATGGAAATCATTTCAGACCTCTTTAGAGGTCTCTTTAGATCTGGCTATAAACGCAATAATTATTGAATTTCCTATGGAAGCGCGTCTAAATCGTGCGGAAGTCGCGAAGTGTCATTTCTTAACAAATATCATTTTCGCAAAATTAAACATCACTTAAATCGTCTGTGTTAAAAACACATATCATGGTAATGCAAGATAATACATGTTTTAAGGAGCATCGTTGCATTTGTTAGCTGACTACCTTTTTGCACAGTCACGAACGTTAAACAATACGTCACGATTTCTTAAGCTTCATTTCTTAAAATAGAAATAACATTTCAATAACGTCGAATGCACCCGAAGAAAATGTATCGGGTATTGTAAGCGTATTAAAGTTATTGTTTATATTTCCAATTTGATGTTCCTTCTTTAAGCTGACTTAATCTGTATCACGAAACATAGCTTATACTACTTCAGATATATCATGTATTCGCCCGTCCATCCGTCCGTTTGTTGTATTTCCAGCTAACATTGAAAACTACATCTAGATGGCTTGACTGTGGTCCAATGGTCTAAGAAACAAAGTTTGAAATTCTTACACCAATAGATCAACTGGGGCGGTTACGGAAATATATACAAACGATAATGAAGAAATATACTCAGAAATATATCTAAAATGTGCTATTTATAATTTTGAGTTAAATATTAGGTTTTTTTACTATCCTTCGAAAACGTGACGTGAGAATGACTTGAAATTGTACACACAGTTTATTGGTCAAACTACTTTCAGTGTAAAAAAAATCCCAGTCATCATACATAATCTTTAGCTATAGACAATCGCTTGCGCTCAGATTTTACTACTAATATATTATCAGTCCTTAAATCAATCTGAAGCAAAGACACGGTGTTAACAATGAATCAATATTTAGTGTCTGAAGCGGGTATTTATCTACATGGTGTGGGCTGTTTGTAACATGAGAGCAGACTCCACTGATCGATGGTTACATCAATAAATTGTATACAGCAATCTGCACAATTAAGGTGAAATATCCGTTATGAGTTACTGCATACGCCATTGATCCAGAAACTTTCGCATGAAACCCAAATCTGTTATACGAAACGTGAATATAGATTTATTACAATTACCTGTATAAATCATTACATTCATTGAATATTACTGGTATCAACACAGTTTATGGTACTGTGCCACATTTTAAAGTTTTAAATGTCTAGGACGTTGTATTATGTCCCTGAGTTCTAGTGGACTATTGGGAGATCAACCTTATTTCAGAATGTAAATTGAACCACTTGCCTGTCAGTTTATTATCTCCTGTGTACAAAATACTGTATACAGTCTTCTGCTTTGACACCGATGTTTGGAATGTTTTAACTTTGTAAATAAACATCGAAATATAAGGTAATGAACATGGTATGGTAATCTTTCCCCTTTCCCATTTTTTATCACAACGAATTCTGACAGTTGAAAGCGTATTCGGTAACAAAAACATTTTTTGGGTATATCTACGGAATGCCGTTAGGGCCATCGCCTATAAATGTGTTGATCTAAAACGCGATAGTCGATAGTACGATGGTGAAAACGCGAAATCACGAAACTACGATGGTGAAAACGAGAAAGCACGATGATGAAAACGCGATAGTACGATGATGAAATCGCGACAGTACGATAGTACGATGGTGAAAACGCGATAAACTATCGTGTTTTCTACGGAATGCCGTTAGGGCCATTGCCTATGAATATGTTGATCTGAAACGCGATAGTCGATAGTACGATGGTGAAAACGCGAAATCACGAAACTACGATGGTGAAAATGCGAAAGCACGATGATGAAAACGCAATAGTACGATGATGAAAACGCGACAGTACGATACTACGATGATTAAAGCGCGATAAACTATCGTGTTTTCACCATCGTACTATCGCGTTTTCACCATCGTAGTTTCGTGATTTCGCGTTTTCATCATCGTACTGTCGTGTTTTCATCATCGTACTATCGCGTTTTCACCATCGTACTATCGCGTTTTCACCATCATACTATCGCGTTTTTCATCATCGTACTGTCGTGTTTTCATCATCGTACTATCGCGTTTTCACCATCGTACTGTCGTGATTTCATCATCGTACTATCGCGTTTTCATCATCGTACTATCGCGTTTTCACCATCGTAGTTTCGTGATTTCGTGTTTTCACCATCGTATTATCGACTATCGCGTTTCAGATTAACACATTCATAGGCGATGGCCCTAACGGCATTCCGGAATGCCGTTAGGGCCATCGCCTATCAATGGTTTGATCTGAAACGCGATACTCGACAGTACGATGATGAAAACGCGAAATCACGAAACTACGATGGTGAAAACGCGACAGTACGATGGTGAAAACACGATAGTTTATCGCGTTTTCATCATCGTAGTATCGTACTGTCGCGATTTCATCATCGTACTATTACGTTTTCATCATCGTGCTTTCGCATTTTCACCATCGTAGTTTCGTGATTTCGCGTTTTCACCATCGTACTATCGACTATCGCGTTTCAGATCAACATATTCATAGGCAATGGCCCTAACGGCATTCCGTAGAAAACACGATAGTTTATCGCGTTTTCACCATCGTACTATCGTACTGTCGCGTTTTCACCATCGTACTATCGTCTATCGCGTTTCAGATCAACACATTCATAGGCAATGGCCCTAACGGCATTCCGTATATATCACCGTGTTAAATGTTTGCAAGCAAGTGTCGAATTTCCTTCATAAATTTTCGGTCATTATAACTACAACTAAGTTTGTTTACCTACATTTTAACCTTTTACAGGTGTTCTCAATTCTGACTTCCATAAGAGTTATTTATAGTCTGATATGTTTGTTTTTAGTCACAAAGATACGCGTGTGAGGCATTAGTAAATTTTGAAATATTTAAAGCGCAGTGCCAAGAAAATGAACTGGAATCGCTCCGTTATTTTATTTAGAAGTGACTTCGATCTATTTATTGTAGTTTATGACTTTGTTCAAATCAAGGCGCATCAAGCATCTGAATGGTCTAAAATGGTTCCTGTCATGTGATTTTGTCATAAAAGTTACAAGATGTAAAACGTATTTTGATTTCCTAACAGAATGCTAGATCACAACTTTACCAATGAAAAAAAATGCGTTGTTTTGGGGGTTTTATGGGCCTTTAAATGTAGCACGTTGCTTTTCAACTGTTATTTAAGTTATCCATATTTAATATAATAACAATAATAACCATGCAATTCAACAAGCCACCAAAAATTTACTATTTGATATACATGTACGTGTAACTGAAAGCTGACGATATAAAAGTTTTAATACATATTGTGTTTCATATTGTAAATATACAAAAATATAGGTAAAGTTATTTAGCATTGTTATGAATAGGTAATGGTACGTAATTTCATATCAATGTATACTCTGTAATATGATATATAAATTACTGTCAATGATTGTGATCTTCAAGCTCTGAAAATGTAAAACTATTTTTATTTAACCCAAAGAAATCAAAATAAATGTAAATAATGGTACATAACGATGAATGGAGAGTATTTATAGAAATACTCTTATTATTATATACTGTCGTGCCCCAAATTACGTATACATATTTAAAGCATGCTGTTTCATTCTTAAATGTGATTATGTAAACACTCAACAGAAACCTTTACAGACAGACAGACAAGTGAGAAAAATCATATTTCCCTCTTTAAATTATCAATGCTTGGTCAATCATCCTTGTCTAATGTATAGCACGAATATCTCTTTATAGAGTTTAAAATCTAGCACAATACTGAAATCAAATAGCCATTCCCTTTTATCAGGTTGATTAGTGGACAGATTATTAGAAAATTTGAATGTATTTAAACTTGATCATGTCAGTAAAGCATAATCAAACGTGTCATATCTATAATTAAGTACAGTAAGACCAGTGCAAAAGAACACTACGTATTTGCAATATCTATAGAGTAGTTAAAGAATAACCCAGTTATTTCGGGCCAAAACCCGGAACTGTTATGGCCATAAAAACTGTCATTTAGAGGCCTAAACACAATATTTTTGCAAAAAAATTTAAATGTTTACAGTCTATAGACTGTTCGTTCTTAACAAGTTTGTCTGTAGACGAAATAAAAAATGGATTTAGTTGGGTGATTAATGATTATATAGCTTGTTTTAAGGCTAAAGGATCACTAATATTTTTATATTTATATCAACTTAAAGAATATTAAGACCATGTATAATCTTTCTTACGTCAAGGATGGCATGAGGTTGTACTACGGGGTTGTTGCGAAACTATTGAATACATTTAGAGCTTACTAATTCCTTTACTTAATCTATATTCAATAAATGAAATTTTGACATTTTTAGATTTTAGATAACAAAATACATGTATAATATGCCAACTTGTTTGTTCAACATTGTATTTTATGTAACAGGCATTATTCAAATTGAAAAAAGTTCAAAAGTAAGAAAAGTTAAACATTGACCCCACTTCTCTGCAACGAAAGAAATTTGACAGTTCAAGGCAAGCATTGTTCGACCTTCACTGGCTGCCCATCAAATCTAGAATCGAATATAAAATTTTGACTTTTGTATACAATTGTTCAATCGGTCATGCTCCAAAATACCTTTCTGAACTCCTAACCAAACAAGTTCCAAATACCCGACTACGTTCAGCTAAAACCTCTGAGAACTGCTACGTAATTCCATTCAATAAAAGAAAAACATTTAGTGACAGAAGTTTCGGAACTATTGGTCCAAAATTGTGGAATCCGCTGCCATTAGAGTTGAAACAATCTAAGAATATTGATGTATTTAAGAGAAATCTTAAAACACATTTTTTCAGAAAGTTTGAATCACTATTTTAAAATCTGAAATGAGATAAACATGAGTAACGTATAACTGATGACTGACAGTGTGATGAATGTGCAATGTAAATGAATGTTTTATTCTTTGTAATCAAGTTACATGTATGTAAATAATCTTATCTCATGCTACATGTATATCAATCAGTTTTATCATTTTATGGTCTCTGTAATTTTTTAAAAATATGTTAATTGGAATTGTATTGTAAGCGTTTATTTCATTTGATGTTGATCCACATATTCTTATGCATTCACAATTTTATTCTTATTATTTATATGTACTGTACAACGCCGTTGAATATTGTTAAATAGAAACAGGTGTTTAATTAAATAAAAAGTTTCAAGTTTCAAGTTTCACTTACCTGAATTTCGTTCCAAGTTGACCTGAGTAGTATTTGTCATTGATTTAAGTATCTTTTCCAATGACCCTAGCACAGTCAATATCAATCTAAAAACTTTAATATGTTTTCATATACTGACTCAAGTAGGAAAGTTCTTTCTAAACATAAATATATGTTACATGATGTATAATGTATTTATTTTACTTCAGAAATATCATTCAAACGAAAGGAGGATGGGGCGTATCTCATGCAGCTGTTCCCACGGCAACAAGACCCGGACACGTTGCCCTAACAGCCGGCTTCTACGAGGATCCAACCTCTGTAGCTAAAGGTTTAATGTTACCTCAGATTTAACATTTTCATGTGTTAAGAATGTAGCAGATTTGGATCAATTATTTAATAATTTGTCTCATCTTATTGTCTAAATTAACGAGATGATCAACTCATATTACACAATTCGTACCCTAGATTGTTACAGCAGCATGCCTCCATATTCATGCTAATTTTCTTAAAATGTTAGTACATTTTTCTCAAGTTTGATTTTCTTGAAATATTTTGGCTCATCTGAAGACGTGCAGCTTTAATGGTAGGGCATGTATTCTGTTATGAACTAGATTACGACCGGAAACAATCTAACGATATACCACAGGAGTGTAATGTGACACAGTCATCTGAACAATTCGTGTCAAAATTACAACCAAACTTCACGTTCACAAAATATGATATTTTCTGCACGCATTTGTTTCATTTAGGATAATCATTTAAATATTTGAGCTGATCGCGTTTATCATTATCCGTACATCTTTCAAAACCTTTTAAGTACGTGGTTTCTGGTATATCAACGTCATGGTACCCGGCTGTGTTTAAGGACGGTTTAGATATCCTAAGTATTATGAGTATAATGTTACGTTATAGAAGTACATTTTGTGTATTTATTTATGTTTCAGATCTTCAAGGGAAGGAGGTCATGTTTGACACAGTATTTAATGAGAGCCAGTATACATGGTCTTGGGACACGCCCAAATTTCTGGCCAAAGTTACAGGAGGTATATTTACATTCTTACATTTGTAATGATAAAACTTATCTAGTAACAATAGTTAAAATTACCCAACTTAAAACTGGTCAGTTTGGTTTTCCGAGAGTTGAAGTATTTGAATGAATGAACAAGAATGGAACTAGATGCGACTGTCACATACTAAAGGGGATCCTTTCTAGTAGAGTACCAACATTGAGATCTATAATAGTAATAATAATAAATAATAATAATAATAATAATGATAATAATAATAATGATAATAATGATAACAATGTTAATGATAATGATAATGATAATAATAATAATAATAATAATAATAAAGACTTTATTTAACAAGAGAACTCATTTGAACAACTTATCAATCTTCCATGAGGCCCTCAACAAAGAATAATACATATTCGATGCACTATACCTTGAAAAACATGTACAGCGTCGATCAAGTTTTGGAGCATTATAATGTAGGGGACCCCGAGGAGCTCTTTATGGCAACGACTACGAATAGTGCATCCCTTGGTGTTGTATTCGAAAGGATCACTTTAGGATGTTACGATCCCATTAGGGTGTGACAGTGTACAACTTAACATTACATTGGATACGTACACATGTACAAAATCATTTAATGTGTAATTGAGTATAACCATCATATTACAATGCACAAGTAATTCGTACAGTTTATATTGAATACAATTTTTTGTTCGTCATGTAAAATATCAGATCAGATAAGTGTATGCATCAAGGGTCCTAACAGTTGAATGTCTTCTGTTAAAATGTCATAACATCCACTTGAAACCTTCATTCACTTCATTTTTGATAGAGACAACATTAAAAATCCATTTAGAGCACTTCACAGTGAAAGTTCCCTGTGAATTCAGATAAGACATTATTATTGAAGTTATGTTTAGGTCATTACAGAGCGCGTGCCTGCCAGTATTCTTTTAATGTCACATGACCAATCCTCATATGTCTATATTTGGCAGGAATGCTGTTTTTAGCTCACCTGTCACAAAGTGACAGGGTGAGCTTTTGTGATCGCTTTTCGTCCGGCGTCCGTCCGTCCGTCGTCCGTCCGTCCGTAAACTTTTGCTTTAAATGACATCTCCTCATAAACCACTGAGCCAATATCATCCAAACTTCACAGGAATGTTCCTTTGGTGGTCACCTTTAAAAATTGTTCAAAGAATTTAATTCCATGCAGAACTCTGGTTGCCATGGCAACCGAAAGAAAAATCTTTAAATATCTTCTTTTAAAGAACTGTAAGAGCTAGAGCTTAGATATTTGGCATGAAACATCTTCTAAAGAGTGTCTACCAAGTTTGTTCAAAAAAATAAAAGCCCTGGGGTGAAAATTTGCCCCGCCCAGGGGGGTCATTGATTTTCCCTATATGCATATAGTAAAAACTTAAAAAATCTTCTTTTAAAGAACTGTAAGAGCTAGAGCTTAGATATTTGGCATGAAACATCTTCTAGTGAATGTCTACCAAGTTTGTTCAAATAAAAGCCCTGGGGTCAAAATTGGCCCCGCCCCAGGGGGTCATTGATTTTCCCTATATGCATATAGTAAAAACTTAAAAAATCTTCTTTCAAAGAACCCAAAGAGCTAGAGCTAAGATATTTAGCATGAAACATCTTCTAATGAGTGTCTACCAAGTTTGTTCAAATAAAAGCCCTGAGGTCAAAATTGGCCCTGCCCCAGGGGGTCATAGATTTTCCCTATATGCATATAGTAAAAACTTAAAAAAATCTTCTTTTAAAGAACCCAAAGAGCTAGAGCTAAGATATTTGGCATGAAACATCTTCTAGTAAGTGTCTACCAAGTTTGTTCAAATAAAAGCCCTGGGGTCAAAATTGGCCCCGCCCTGGGGGGTCATAGATTTTCCCTATATGCATATATTAAAAACTTAAAAAATCTTCTTTTAAAGAACCGTAAGAGCTAGAGCTTAGATATTTGGCATGAAACATCTTCTTGTGAATGTCTACCAAGTTTGTTCAAATGAAAGCCCTGGGGGTCAAAATTGGCCCGCCCCAGGGGGTCATAGATTTTCCCTATATGCATATAGTAAAAACTTAAAAAATCTTCTTTTAAAGAACCCAAAGAGCTAGAGCTAAGATATTTAGCATGAAACATGTTCTTAATGGGTGTCTACCAAGTATGTTCAAATAAAAGCCCTGGGGTCAAAACTGGCCCCGCCCGGGGGTCATTGATTTTCCTTATATGTGTATAGCAAAAACTTAAAAATTCTTCTTTTGAAAAAACCCAAATAGCTTTAGTTTAGATATTAAGCATGAAACATCTATAAGTAAATATCTACAAATTAAAGCCCGGGGGTCAAAACTGGCCCTGCCCCAGGGGTGTCATTGTTTTTAACTATATGTGTATAGTAAAAACTTAAAAATTCTTCTTTTAAAAAACCCAATGAGCTAGAACTTAGATGTTTAGCATGAAACATCTTTCTTATGGGTGTCTACCAAGTCTGTTCAAAATAAACAAATAAAAGCCCTTGGGTAAAAATTGGCCCGGGGGGGGGGGCTATATACAGGTGAGCGACCTCAGGGCCATCATGGCCCTCTTGTTTGTAAATTAATGGTGAAATTATCGAACTACGAACACCAATTTGTTGTTGCTCAAATTAGCTTTCGCGTGTTGTGTGTAAATATATCAATAAAACTTTGTGATAATTGTGACATCAAAATAAGCAAATGTTAAGCTTCAGTCACACTACACCGTATAGCGTTAACGGACGTCCAACGCATACCAAAATTTTCAATCCGTCCATGTCCGTTCGCATGCGTTTCTTTTCCGTTTATCATGCGGCGTTTGCGCTTCTTGTCCTGCGGTGTCCGGCGGTGTCCGGCGGTGTCCGTTCCGTTCGGTGGAAAGTTTTGAACATGTTCAAAATTTGGAACGTACACCACCGGATAAAGTTGTCCGTCAGATGTACGGTAACCATGCGCTGGTATGCGTTTTGTTCGTTACTCGTTCGTTCCTTATTCTGTACTTGTCCGGTTCGAGTCCGTTCTTGTCCGGTGGACCTGATTCACGGCCGGACTACTAACGGACATGCAGCGCGATGTAACGTATGTTAAACGGACGATAACGAACAAGGGACGTATAAGAACTGATAAATAACAGACATGAATCGATGGTCCACCGCACAAAACTGATGATGAATAAAACGATGTTTCCCTGGTTATAACTGTCATATATTTTCCTGCATTGAAACTTTGATAGTTTGAGTTAATGATCCACATATCATGGAGTGTCGCGTTAGAGCCCGCCTGCAGTATCAAGCGGCCGTGATTCAGGCACGTATTGACCTGTTGGATGCGAATGTAGATATTGTCGCTTATGAAAATAGGAGAAGAAGGAGGCGACTGCAGAGGTGGTTGTCAAAGGCTTGGCTGGGTCCTGAGAGACATCGAATGTTTGGTCTCTACGATCAACTCATGATGGAGCTGCGGAGAGAAGACCAGCGGTCATTTACGAACTTCATGAGGATGCCTCCTGAGATGTTTGATGAGATTCTGGAACGAGTGGGTCCCAGAATAACAAAACAATATACCACATACAGAACCCCTCTTGACCCTGGAATGAAGTTAGCCGTTACACTAAGACATCTTGCGTCAGGGTCAAAGTATTCCAACATGCGGTTTGCCTGGAGGATACCTCACAACACCATCTCTGTCATAGTGCGAGAAGTAAATATTTTTATTTTCCCATGATTCTGAATGATAACTCGAACAATTACATGTATATAATTTCTGGTCTTTTTAAGTATCAATAATTTGCTTACATGATTATTTCTACTTTTAAAATCGCATTTTTATTTACATTTTCAGGTGTGCAGAGCAATTATAGACGAGTATGTGGACGAGGTCATGCCTTTGCCAACAACAGCTGCTGACTGGAAACGCATTTTAGATGGCTTCTTGGAAAAATGGAACTTTCCTCACACTTTGGGTGCGTTGGATGGCAAGCATATTGCCTGTAAGTGTCCACCTAGTTCCGGGTCCACATATTTCAACTATAAAAAGTACTACTCCATTGTCCTGCTGGCCCTCGTTGACTACGACTGCAAGTTCATTTGGGCCGACATCGGAGGCCGCGGTGCTGCATCTGATGCTCAGTTGTGGAACGAGTCGGACCTTAAAGCTGCAACTGAGGAACTTGACCTGCCGGACGCCGAACCCCTGCCACACGACACGCAGGATGTGCCATTTTTCTATATTGGTAAGAAAACAAATGCGAGGAAATAAAATAAATGAACATACTGTAATAGACTGATTTCTTTTAAATGTGTATTGTACTCGTAAATGCATGTAATATATTACTTGTCTATTTTCAGGCGACGATGCCTTTGGCCTGAAGACCTATATGCAGAAGCCATACAGTCACAGAGTCTTGTCTCACGATGAAAGGATATTTAACTACAGGCTGTCAAGGGCTCGAAGAGTGGTTGAAAATGCTTTCGGCATCCTCGCTAACCGGTTCCAAGTCCTGATGAGTACCATGCAGCATCATCCATCGACCATTCGCCTCATTGGCACCACCTGTTTGGTTCTACACAACCAGTTTTGTCCTTCACGTGACCGGTAGAAATACGCTCGTCGAACGTTCAAAGAACGTTTTGTCAGTTCTTCATGCGCTGCGTGTACGTTTTGTGCGGTACAAATCCGTTACTAGTACGGTGAAGTCCGTTAACTGTACGTCGTTCATCCGGTATATGTGCCTTGATCGTTCGGTCATTGTGCGTTTTGTACGTTTTATGCGCCCCGTACAGCGATCATGGGAGCACCGAGCAGCAGCGGTAAATGCTTTTCATCACCGGATAACTTTCAGCCGCATTTTTCTTTGCGTTTGGCGTCCGTTAACGCTATGCGGTGTAGTGTGACTGAAGCTTAAACAATAAAAGAGTTGTATCTCTATGGCATTACTACAAGAGTTAAGGTTCTTTTTAGAATGTTTTGCCCATTGTTGTTTTTTCCCAGATCATGTCTTTGCTGTATATAAGTAAAAACTGGGGTTAACGTCAAAATTGTTCGTTATTGTGACGATACCCATTATCTGTTAATATGCTAGTGACTTGTCTACTTATTTGGAATAAGTCTTCCTTGAGCAGGAGTAAAATCCATCTCACATCTTTTAAAGACATTCAGGTGTCATTGTTGTTTTTAACGCTGTATATACTTGTTTTATTGTTATAATATCATGAATTGATGTTAAATATTTTACAGGTAATGCAAACCGCATGTTTTCATCAAAGTATCCTGGCCATATGAAATGGCTGGCCGGTATAAACGCAGAGGACATGGACTCGTGGGTATTTAGGGAAACACATGTAAGTTGAAATTTGGTATTAACATTAGCTAGGGTAGTGTGGGGACCGTTAAATATCGCCCAATATGTATTGTCATACGTTTTAGTTCCTTCGGCGTTATTGGCGGTAATTGACTCTTTCCTGCTGCTGCTGTTGTTGTTGCTGTTGTTGTTGTTGGTTTTGTTGTCTGCACACCCCGACTCGTAATATTGATAAGGCGAGCAATTTGTGTATAAAAGAACAATGATGATGATGTTATTACCAAAATAGGTAGCCTCTAACAAAAATTAAACCTTTATGTAGTTCCTTTTTATTAAATGAATGAAAGAATGCATTTTTGCTGGCATTAAAGCACTGCAGTCTATTAACAGTCTGAAAAAAGAGACAACAAAAAAACAACAACATAAAAACAACAACATAATACATAGTACTTATTTATCTGAAAATTTTAACTTAATAAATAAGTAACATGTAGTTAACACATACTCAAAAATACCCCATGCTAATATAAATGCTGAATAATGCATTCTTTTCAATTTAAATCTCTTAATTCTTAAACTTCTCCACGTAATATAGGCCACTGATTTAAATAGTTTCAATTAAATAAACCCAATAAGGTGACATTTAAATCAGTACGTCTTATTTCAATGTCAAAAATAGGTATGATCACTTATAAAATCAATACTTATTCACTATCGGTTAAATCAAGTTGCAGTAGTAGTAGTATCTTTATTGCACGTAAACCTGCTTACCGACAGATTTAGTGATATAAACATTGATGATAACACATAAAGTGATTATCATTAAATTTTAATTTAAGGTATGTGTGTTGATGAATGCGTGTGGTTTCAATTAACGTATTTCTTGTTTAATACTCAATAATTGATTCATTGAGAATAAATGATAATCTTACGGTAGTATGTTTAAAACCTATTAAAGAAAGAGCAACAGCAGACCAAAAAGCAAATTTATATGTAAAGAGTATTTCAATAATTTATACAAATAGGTTGTATGTTGAATCAAAAGACGTTAAGTCTTTATTTTCATTAATCAATACAAATATTCCATAAATCAAAAGTGTAATTATTTGATAAATCAGTCTGATAAAAATTTATATTTTTTGGAGAGAATGAACTTCCTTTTAAATCCTGTTTCCGTTTATAAACTGCTATTAATCTTAGATTGCATGTAAATATTTCATACCCATATGTGCACACCTGATAAATAAAAAAGTAGCATGCCTGTGAAGGTGACGAAAAAACACTCAAATAAAACTGCCATCACGATTGTCATTTTATCAGATTATTGAGTTGCAGGTCGGAATTCCGCCTTTCTTTTCTGTTGATACTACGTGCAGTGGCTAGGCTTTTTTTTCAAATATAACATGAATTTGGTTTAAAAATAGCGGGCCTATGTTTGAGTAATTCATTTGGTTTAAAATCCGGGCCTATGTGATAAATTAATCACATGTTTGTTATTTTATCTAAACAGGCATTTTCGGGTAAAGTTTACAAACGATAACTGTTAGTAATAGAAAAGAGCATCGAAAGACGAGGCTATCTGATTTGTTCGAAGGGGGGGGGGGGGGGGGGGGGGGGGGGGGGGGGCGAGTGTGTTTTGGTGTTCTTTCTCTTTTGTATCATTAAGTTAAACCCTGTTGTCACAATATGAAGCCGCAGAAAAAAAGGAACCCATGAACGGGCATCTGAATATGATATTTTAACTGTCGCTTTCCCCTTTCTCTGGCGTCACAATAAGTAAACCCCAGCAAAAAATGAGCCAATCAACGGGCATGCTCTGGAGTGCGGGTAACTAATACCTGCACTCAAGTTAACGAACTGTGCATGTATACGATTTAACTCTGACACATTTTCAACATAAAGGTCCCCAAACTATAATACCACTTATTTAATATACAAACGCAAGTTTTTTTGTTTCTTATTGCCATTGATTAAAGGTTTTTAAATAGGAAAAAGTAATTTTCAGTTGCATGCCCAAACGCGTTTTTCAGTTCCAATCAGTAAACCCCTTTTGTTCATATTTGTTATTAAACCAGCAGATTTTTTTTTCATATAAGATAGAAAAACAGCTTTAATATGCTATAATATTGCGGTGGTATTTCTTCTGTATACATTTATATTGTTTGTATTTTCCTTTACACGAACATATGCCCTTGCACTGATCGAATGACTGAAACGAACAATGTACGGGTCAGATCAAATTCGAGTTCAATGTATAAGTAATTTATTTTGTTTATTTCAGAAAAAAATTTAGAGAATGCCAAAACTGACGAAGTTCTGAAAGCCAAGATGGCGGAGGACCAGATTTTGTTTTTTCTACATCTTGGAGGCCTAGATCACAGCGGTTATATCGTCAGACCAAACTCAGAGTAAGTAATTAGTAATCGTCTGATCGAAACGTTTTTGACACATATGACTTTATGTTATGTATATATGTGTAGATGCAAATTTATGAGAGTTCATATACTTATGTTTATATATATGTATGTAATGTGTGTATGTATGCATGTTTGAATATGTAATTATTATTATTAAATGTTAAATTGCTGTAGCCATATATAGTTTTTTAAATGTTGGCCACATGGGTATATGACCTTCTGGTGTTTTGAAAATAAAATCTTGAAAATGTTTATGAAGATGCCTGCAAGGGCAAAAACGGCAACTTTTCAATTTGTATTGTTAGAAAATATAACGGTGCTTTGACTCTTATTGATGGCTATAACATTTCATTATTTAAAATCATGCGGAATTATGTTATTGAATATTGCTATTCGATAGCTATAGTTCTGATTTTATTGAAAACTGTTTCAATATAAATGCATTGTAATTAAAATAAAACTTTTTGATATAAGATATTTTTCTTAATTTTGAAACTATGAAAATTTTTCCTATGTTAAATTTTAATTTATCATTTAAAATGATACAAGGTCAATTTTTTGCCAATTTTCAATATGTAATTTCTATAACTTTTTAAATATAAAAGAAATTATTTGGGTTTTCAGATTAAAGAAATTTGAAAAACCCGAGGATTGAAAAAGTTATGTTTATTGAAATTAATATAAAAAAATTCAAAAAAAGTTTTTTAAAAAATACTTAAAGAACGAAAGACTTAAAAAAACCACTATTATAAAATTTTTCTTTGTAGAAAAAATTCCGATGGAGTTTTTTTTTAAAAGTTTTTTTTTAAATTTTTTAATATTGAAAAAATTTTTTTAATTTCTTGAAAAATCCAAACCCTTTTTTAATTCCACGGCCCTTTTTTTTTAAACAAAGTAAAATTAAATTCCCAATATTTGAGTAAAGAAATTTTATCCCAGTAAGCCTTAAACAACTTTTTTTGGGGCATTTTAACCCCCCAAAAAGTTTAAAACAAATCGTAAAGGGGCTTTTCCCATTTTTATGCATTATAACCCCTTTTCCCGGACCTCCTCTTTTATTTATTTTAAAGCATTATCATATTTTTAGGGGCCCACCTTAATCATATATCGTTTGTTGATGAAAAAGGGGGTTTGGAAAAGGGTTGGGGGAAGAGTTGAAATTTACATTAAAACAAAGGAAAGGCCAAACACGTTTGGGCTTTACAAACTGGGTCACGGAATGAACTGACTTGGGGTTTTTAACCCTAACTTATTAAAAATTTTCCCCCCCACCAAACCCCCCCGCCCCCTTTTTATTTCCCCATGAGAACACCTGAACAGCTTTAAATTTATAATTAATGAAAATTTTTAGTTATAAACCCGATTCACAAACCCAGATTGGTACATAAATTCATTGGGTATTCCCAACCACATTGTAAATGGGAATTTACCAGCTGGGGTTTCTTTTAAAAATTTCCGGGGAAAATTTCCGATTTTTTACGGAAATAACCCGACGTCATTGGGAAGCGGTTTTGAGAAACAGCAGAAAAAAAAAATTTGCATTTTTTACTTTTTCTTATTGATGATTGTTTTTTATACTTAACGTTTAAAATTTTAATTTGATAAAACCTGGGTTGCAAATTCCCAAATTTATAGCTAAATTGTAAAATTTAAAACTTTCCAAATTGGGAAATTAATATTCATTTGCCAAAGTGTGAGACGTTTAATAAATTATGTATTCACTTTTAAGTAAAAAACGTTTTTAAAAGCAAAGTATTTACTCCCGGGTTGGGTTTGGTTTTTTATTGTTTTTTTGTCTGTGCGTTTTGTTATTTGTTGGCCGCCCTGTGATTTGTTGAGTTTTTATAATTCTGCTTAAAATACTTGCCTAAATAGTCAAAAATCGATACCTAGTATACAA